TGGCCAGACGACTTCGGCTATTTCGGAAGTTAGTACTGCATAAAAACAGCCTGCGATCAGCACACAGCTGAATCAATCGTTCCCCATTGTCCGTACGTACCGAGTCCAGTCAATGTCGACCTCCCAATTGAGTCTCAGATGCACTGAGCCTGCCCACTTGCGCACTACTATCTCCGGCAACCACCACAATGTCTGAGCTTTTAGCTCGCCGCAGCAGAGCATTCAGGGAGTCGTAAAACCTGTCTTTGACGGTGTCAGAGCTACAGTCAGTTGGGCCGTGTGCAGACACAATAAACAGACATCTATCAACTTCACGCTTGTGAGACTCCTTCACAGACGTTGCCAGACGAACCGCACAGATGCGACTATCAACAGGTATCCAGTCAAGTAAGGATACTTCCGCCCGGTGACTTAACACAGTACCAACCCCTGCACATCCCACCGCAGCAGCCTCTGGATCACCAGAGGTGCGTAGCCGGAAGCGAGTGGAGACTGACGGGGCGGTTAACTCAGTCACTGTGCTTGCATCTTGAATTCTTGTTTCTGAGACACAGCACACATCAATGCCAAGCGAGTCCAGTGTGAGTGTAAGAGCAGCTTGTTGTCCTGTATGTGAAGGAGAAAGAAGGGAGGCGTCATTAGTAGCCTGTTTTCGCTACCCGCCCTGCAGCAAGTAAAGCAACCCGGCTGATGGCACCACGCGACGGCCGATGTAGCATGAGTTTATTTGTATATGTGCAATTCATGGTTGTACGTGGGCCGGAATACTGCTAGGGCGTCCACACCTAGACAGGAGGACGATTAGGGTCCTCAACCAAAGCCTTTGGCTCAAAAGCCTAACCGCAAGGCAGCGGTGTTTGGCGGGGAAATGCAAATGCAATACCATTTCTACGGAACAAGTCGCCACATGTTCCAACCCCCAACCTGGAGGACCAGGAGACTGTGTTCGTCAGACCTCTAACCATTGACCAACCTGGTATGAGAGACTGTGAGTGTCGCGGGACACTCTAGTATAGCTCAGTGGATCGCTGAGGTACGCAAACCGTCACACCACGGTAAGGTCCAGTCTCTTCGTGTGGAAAAACAGGATCACTTGACCACATGTTGAGCAGGTGGACGGATGACGATAAGGTCTCCGAAATTTGCTCCGAAAATCTATCTATGGCCCGAACTGATCTCTCCACGATATAAAAATTTACAAGTCGCACTAATGATTAAGCAAAAGTAGCCTGATTTTAAGGATGGTCTATCATATCAATGTACAGAAATCGACGAATTATCTTCTCAGGTACACGAAAATACTTAGCTCATATTTAACATGTGAGCGGAGAATTCGTCTGTTGGAAGGACAGCATAAGTTTTCGGAATTTTTCTGAAGCATCATTTGGGATGCTTTGTTTACTGGTGATGGCATAAGCTTTTCGAGTGATGATTAAAGTCCGAAGTCCTCATGTGGGACAGTTTTTTTGCCCGAGGGTAGCTTATGGAACTTGCAATTCAATCCAAGTGACAAGAACCATCAGACATGTATGAATGACATCTTAACAGCGTCTTTTCAAACACTTGCCAAGAGCAGCTACTGAAATACGGAGCATACAAAATATTGATGGCTCGCAAGTGTGTTTCGACACACGACTCGTTACCTGGTCGGTTGCTTATTTTTCAAATTCCCGTTTTATCGTCCACTTTAATTTCCGTATTGTCAAGCGAATAGGGATTCTTCAACTTTCTGTTCCAATTACACATGAAGTTCCGTTTTCCCGATTCACAGCCATTGACCAACCAACTACAAGCGTATGGCTCTGCCAGACGCATTTACACCCTTTATCCATACAATCTCAGTATTTCTGGGTTAATCCCTTTTTTGAGTTTAATTTGTGTTGATTGTTTGTCTCCTGTTTGACTCACGTCACAAACAGTTGTTGAACTGATGAACTGGTGGGGTCACCCTTTAGTAAAACATGGTAGTTAATTCCTCACTGAGAAGTGTTACGCTCAGTTTAGTGACCAGTTATCTTTATTCCTTCCTGTACTAAATAGAATCTCCGTGCGCCTCAGTGAACTGTTCGGACCCATTTTGGATATGCGTTCGATGCTGGAATCACTGTTTCATGCGATGCTTTTGTATCCTCCTCCGAAACAGCGGCTGGAAGCTTTCCGTGCAATTCAAACGGTTTGTGTTATTCACATAATTCATGCCTGATTTTCTTCTCGTGATTCTTATATTGCTCAGCAGCCGTACGAAGTACAGTTTACAGATGTGTTTCTAATAGACTGTTTGGATATTGGTGGGCCGTGCCCCTATTTGAGTTCATTGTAGCACATTAGATTCTTGGGTAGAAGGTTTTATCTATTTTTCGGACTTGTTTATCGTGATGCTATCTCAAACCTTCAGCTGTAACACCCCTTCGGTGCCTAGCTGCCATGCCGCTCGAATGAAGCACGAAGATTGAGATTCTTCCAGGTTTTACATGCATAAACTGGAGCAGTCGAGATTCAGAGGTCCGGTGCGAATTAGTAAATTTGCATTTTGACAACTGAACCATCTCGGGCTCAACCCTTGTATTTCGGTTACAGCTCTGCACCGATTCGATCCTATAGTTGGCCAATAAGATGCTAGTTAACGTTGCGATGGCGAGCGCAGCTATCCCGATGGATGATCTAGTGAACGAAATATATTGTGAATTCCGTTATGCAAACTTCACAGAATAAGGAACATAACAGTCTAGCCTCCACCCAAACTGGTTTCAATAGATGACCTCGGTCTTTCGAACTACTTGTTCACACTGATAACTGGTGTTCAGTATTGCGAACAGATTGTTCAGAAGCCATCATTTAACTGATGTACAGTCGTGAACCCACATTACCACCTGAAAGGTCCAAACTGCTGCGTCCAGCTATGACGGCAAGTGCATCGGAAAGACACACCGAAGTGGCTAGGTGGATGATAATGATAGTGATGAAAATTATGGAGAACGTAGAGTAAAACTCTCCATCCATCGTCTGCCTGGGTAACTGAAAGTTATCATTAACTCTCATGTCTCTATTAACTGCATAAAGGTGCACATCAATATCTCCGATGAGTTTGCTACATTTGAGTGACAGATAGTATCTCCACGCCTCCTTTTCTCTTCGTTTTTGTCATGGAAGACTAGCTTCAGCCTCCGATAACTATGAAATGTTCGGATTGCTAACTCGCAAATATCGAGTAGGCAGGTGACATAACTGTTCCGGGATCCGACTTTCTTAAAAGTGTAAACACTATTAAATCTGAATAATTCTGCCTCATCGTTCGGAATGTAGGTCACTTGTAAAATGTAAAGTGTTGCTACAAGACTGGATGGCTGAACGTATCAATCCAACCTCACAGTCAACTACTCACTACACTTCACATTTTCCAACACCCAATCTGATAGAACGTTAAACTGCTTCCCGCTAACCTGTTCAGTCAAATTTTTGGGTCGTGTCCGATGCAAAGGTTTCCTGTCATTTCATAACTTTGAAGAACATTGTCCATCGTGCTCCTTTGCCACTTTTCCATGTCTTGTCAGAGGGCAGGTGTTTCGAATTAGGACATCGTACTATATGCTCTGTACTGTTAAATCATTGTTTCTCATAGTAACGTTTTTGATCCTATAAATTAAGTCAGGGTGTCGTTAAACTAGTCCGTTCGCCATCTCAACTATTCGTGTCTTCTTTCCAGATGCTATCTTCAACCCAGCCGCTGATGCTCATCACGCTTCCATGTTGGACTGTGGTGTCCAACGGCTCGTTAGAAGAACCTCTCAACACATTCCACATGGTTTCTCAGTGGTCGTCTGACAGTTATCACTCTCCAATCAATCCACCGTTCCGTCTTTTGAAAATGTGAGTAGCTACATGTTAGCTTCCTTTTTAGAGATGGACATGTGATTGTCAACGATTTGTCTTTAAGTCTTATCATATATTTGTCTTTATTTGTCTTGTATTCTGCGTTAATAAGTAGGCTGCCAACAGTACGTGGATATAGCTATACATAGACCGTAACATTACACGTCCAGGTTGATGTATCAGCGGTAGGTTCTGGCCTGTTGGTCTTCTACTGGCTGCTAGTCAGTATCATGACCAATCCGTATAAATGGGTCCTGTTGATAAATACTTCCAGCTATCCGACAAATCCAGGTCGCCTTATTATCATTCTACACCCCTAACAGAGTGACTGACGATTCAACACTAAAAGTTCAAAAAAAACGAAGATTCAAATGTGGATGCGAAGTCAAGTGTCCGAAATTACGGGAGGATTATATTGCTTCAATGACATTCTGCTGAATGTCCATCAAGTTGTCGCTGGCGCCGTTTGTTCTGCTCAGAGTCGTAAAACAACAGGCTGGCTACTCTGCTTGTAATATAGACACAGTTTTCTCTCCCGAGGTATACTCGGTCAACTGAAAAGTGTTGGTTCAACTGGGTTATTCGTTATAGGGGAGCGAATAGTCATACTGACCTACCCCAGTATGTACAAACAGGTGCATCAACCTCAAGTTTTAATCACTGGTGGGAACCAAGTCACATGTTAAAGTGAATCCTGGTATGACTGTGGCACAGCCTAACTTTCTCAGTTAGAATCATCTTTCAGGTCCTGACTGATTCAACATGTGCTCAACTTTCAGGGCTAGGATTGACAAGTAGTTTGAAGGTCCTCGTGTAGAGAGTCGAACTCTGAGAGCTGAGGTACTTGGGAGTTGATGCATGTTGTTAAAGTACCGGTCGAACGCTTTTCGTTCATTTACTGCGTTCTTTTCAAGAACAAGGGGAAGGTTCTGCCGTTTTTCATTGGATTTCCCTTTAGAATGTCTAAAATAACTCCGAATCTTGTTGATACTTCAAGGGAAGTTCAAATATTGGTATGACACCTGAAAGCAAAATCTGATTCCCATCGATACACTCGGAGAGTTATTCAAAAATATTTTAAAGAGCTACATAATTCCGGGGCCTTTTACCATTAACGTTTTTAACAATAACCTTCCAGAAGAATAATTTGAGGTGCTTACCATTTGATGCCTTACCAGCAGAACGCTTGTGATTCACCACGTCTCAGTTTGTTTTCGTAAAACAACTGTACGACAGTTCCAACGTAACTTGTACTGATCAGGTGCAGAATATTCAGCGTAAATTAATTGAGTTGGTTGTTGCGCTTATCTGTGAAAAGTGAGTAACGAATGCAATTGGTTGCGTGAGCCACTCTGCCAGCTATGGTGTTGGTAATAGAATTTAACCGCTTTCGTGTTTGGTCCGCCTCTGCGTGCTACCGAAATCATAGGCCCTCCTGTTGTATGCAGTATGGTGTTTGGCTTCCAGTTTGATCCAAACAGTCGTAACCGCAATATAACAATTTTCGTGCAGTCGGTTTTTATTGGTGCGGTATGGTTCTTCTGAATGATTCTGAATTTTGACCACTATCTCTTTATCCCTGTGCTGATCACATGCACTTTCTTTTAACATGTGGAACAGAATTGTGGACTCTCTTTGTCAGTCTTTGGCTTTTGGTGGTCTGGGTACGGTGTTTCAGGCAGCCGTCGATTGCTTGTCAAATCTCGTTCGTTCGCTTGACTGTATGTCACGGGGCGAAGGATCTGAGTTGTGGTCGAAGCACCCCCTAGTGTCCACACAGGTCAACCTAGCGATCTGTCAGCGTGGTAAGTTTAACGCCTTCAAGCAAGTTATCCGTGGTCCTCATCATTTGGTAAAGTCTTCAGGAATCGTTTCTCCCCTCACTTCAGATATCCTTCAACTCCCGTCAGAAATTATTGTCGAAGAAACCGGGGATATCAACGAAAATGCGGTAAGTGAAAAGTTTAATCAGCCGGTAGTCTTTTAAGTCCGCTACTTAATGCAGTACATAAGTGATTGGTTATTCGATTGGTCGCTTTCTCACTGCAGAGAAACCGAATTCTGATAGTTACTTATCGTGCAAAATGACTTCGTGATTATCGATTTCTTTTTTACGATATTTCACTTACATTCATTCATTTCAGCAACCACGATGCTCCACATCAACAACGCCTACTGAGCAGGATCATCAACTTGGTCAAAAGTACATAGCTGCTCTGGAACGACTCCTTCCCTCGTTATTACCTATTAGTACCTTGACAGAATTGGATCAGGTAATCCAAGGATTCTCTTCTGACTTCTGTGCACGTAAGTCGCTATTCTTGAAAACTTAGGTGTAGTTCACGTTCCACGTCAACATAATGCCTGGTTAATTGTTGAATGCATGAGTGCCGATTTCCTCGCCGAACTTGGCAGTTGGTTTGCCGACGCCTCGTCACAATCTGAGGAGACACTACCAATGAGTGGTTGAGTGGTTGCGGTTTCGTTACACAGAAATCACTTGACGCTACTCGTACCATCGCTGGGGCACCACACTGATTGTTTAAATTTTCAGTTTGGATATGTGCAGTCTCTATGCGTTTATACCTTCATTCATTCATCCGGCCACAGGCCGTTACTCCATTGTCTTTGATGTTGACTGTGATTTCGACTACTTCATCCTGTTGTTATCCTCTTAGTTCGTGGTCATATTTCGAAAGACCAGTTAGTATCATGATTTTTTGTACATAGCTTAAAGGTTAAGGTGGTAAGCTACTAATCAGAAGGTCTATGTTTCCAGCCCAACCCTTTCTTCGAATCTTACTGTATAGGCCGGGACGACCTGGCAGTATTTGAGCCTCGTGCTTCCTACAAGTCGAATTGCCTCGACATAGCTTAGTGCATCGAAAATCCGCCTTTATTCAATAGTTGTTAGTGTACACTCCCTTTTTCAGAATTGTTATCCGGGCGCCACGATTCAAATTCCCTGTTTCCTACTCATTCCTGCGCCCGCGATGTGCGGAACCCGATTATGAATGCCGATGCGATCTACGTGACTACCTATGCAACTCTGAGTCTTAATTTACGGCTTCTTTTGTGCGATTTCTATAAGAAACCGTCTGAGCTTATGTCTCTGGAAGTGAATCAAGTAAGTGAGCCTCGAACCTATGTTTATCTGTCTCCGTTTTTTCATTTTCCCCTTCATCTAACTTACTCTTCTTTGCGCAGGAATCATTCGTCAATTCGGTACTCGAGCACAGGTTACTGGTGTTCCTGCCGGCTGGCTTTCTGGTTCAAGTATTTCAAATGGTTGCGGCACACAATTACTTGGGATCGGCGGGTTTCAACTTTTCAGCCACTGGTTCGGAAAGCAATTACTTTCGCTCATTGGCTGAGCAGCAATTTCAGGCTCCTGGGCATGCACTTTACGCTCTGCTGACTAGTTCAGTTGTTTTTTGTGAAGATCGGGTAAGCGACGTTGTAGAATACGTGAGTTGATAGGGTCCTAATGCGCCTCTAGTTGATGACGTAATTTCCCATCCTTATTTTCCTTTTTAGACCAGAACTTGTTCTGAGCATCGTCCTATCAGTACTCCGCTGTCTGCCAGTCGGATTCTGGCCAGTTGCATCTGTTGTGTGATTTGGCAGCCTCTGTTGGATGGGTTTCGTGGAATGCTATCTTTACCCGGACTACTGGACTCTCCCCTCACTAGTCACAGTCTCAGCGAAACATGTTCTTTTGTCGGTAAAATCGAGCGGTTCCCCGTCAACGCCGAGGTACTTTTGATGAATCGTCTGCCACAAAGCATTCGGGAGCATCTAGACTCACTGGAGATCGCGCAACACCAAATTATCTCGCGCTTGTTTGAAGCTTTGAGGTTGGTATATCGGCTTGGTCTTCGAGGTGAATGTCACCGAATGCTTGAAGAATTGGTTTCCTTCCTTACCCAGTCCTCCGAACGACCGTTGTTAAACGTAGAAACAACATTTAATGATTCGAACCCTGCTGATAATTTTGGACGGCAAGTTATATCTGTACATTACATTCAGATCCACTTACTACACCAGCTGCTCTCTATGTACAAAGAAGTGGATATGATTTCAGATCAAATATTTTGGATCAGCATTTTCAGAGCTTGTCGGCTTATTTGTTGGTTGGAACACTGCAACTTCGTTAGGTCAAACGCCCAACGGGGAGGAGATCTGGTGGGTTATCCTGAATACTCTGACGGCGGAGATCTTAAGTGAGTAATTCGGATTGTTATTCATTACCTTTAGATTGATTTCGCTTTAGAAAGAATGCTCACTTTATGCAATTTCTGTTTGTTGTGGGTTAGTCTAACTGCACAGTTTTTTCGTCTGATTAGATCTCGCATCTTTTTGCCCACTCGGCAATTATTACTGGGGCAATACTGTCGCTTCCTTTTTATTCACTTTGTTGAACGCCAGTTGTGAAGGTATTTTTCCTGGTGACCCAAAAATTTCCCATTCAGAGTCATTACAATGTCCGTGACCCAGTGGCAACTTTGTTCCTCCCACACATTCCGCAGGCCATTGGGTGGACTTCATTGGGATTACCAAACCAGCTTGTTTCCTTTTTATTGCGTGCCTCTGGTTGCGACTTTGATGTTTTCCAAGCCTTATGATCACGCCTTATTTTTATTATAATATGGGCTCGGTTACTCCTTTTGGCTCATCCGACCGTTGCTTTATTACTTGGACCTACTGATTTTTTTCTGTAAAACCTATGCCCCAATCACATATCCCCTTCTGGTGATGTTTTGTCACTGACTGCAAGGTTGTATTTCGGGCTGTTTTCCTCCAAAGATCTTTTCTCGGACGGTCGTTCAGTTCCTTCTGAGGTGGGCACTAATATTCTTTATGACAGTACTTCAATTTACACCTCGTCTTAAGCAAGTGAAGCACGTATCCCATGAATGGTTTTCTCGCGCGTTTACGTTGGTTGACATGAGGATTAGACTGTACACCTGAGTGTGCGTACATCCATCTCGTTAAACGCGTTCGGCCTACACTGCCCACCTGGAACTCATAGACAATGCCAAAATTGTTCATTGCTTTGAGAGAAGAACAGCTGTCGGACATGCCGACCAGAAGCCACTCCTGAAATCTCGACGTCCAGAATTTTTTTATTCCTGTACATTCAAAGACGACTCACAAAGTTGGGGCTACCGAGTTGGTTCCTCAATCGAACTGTGGGTTGTAAGCAAAGTATTTGTTCAGTCCGTCTCATCATTCATTTGTTTCGTGTTTATTACGCTTTGCTTCGGGGCAGAGTGGTACGCAGTCGGTCCATTAAACATACATGTTTATATCAGTATTTTGACAAGTTTCGAAATTAAATTTGTCATACTGATAGGATCACGCTCTGTTGTTCGTTTTCACCGCGACGTTCTGTCGAACCAATTGGCTGCCCCACGTTCGCCAACCGCTGATGATTCCCTCTTTTGGTGTCGTGTGCTAATTCAGCGGCCAGAAAATCTCCGGGGTGTCACGTTTCATATCCGTAGAAATCCACCACTTGGTTACAAAACCTAGAACAAATGACTTCAAACTGAGGTGAACAGACGTGAGTAGAAAGTAACCACCGCGGTGGCATGTGACGCTATTCAGTTAGTTGGATATCCACCAGTCCATAAAAGCCGAGTCTGGTTGAATTTCTCATGGTTAAGACGACAAACTATTGTCTGTATACTTTTGTTGCTTAGTAAGTTATTTTTTCCTGAGAACTGCTAGCAACCCAGCGAACAAAGCCCAATCAGTAATGACAACCAGGTTTCTGTTTTCGTACCGTCAAACGTCTTATTTGTCTGATTTTGCGGAAGTCGTGAACGATGGCTGAAAGTAGCTCGTCCGCAAAAAGATGAAATTCATATACAGTGAACTCGTTTGTGGAAGAGTAATGCACTCGGTATGATTGGGTGTGTGTTCATTCACTACTTGGTTATTCCGATCTCCTCAGAAGATATAACCAAACTTAGCGCATCCACCAATCAATTTGCACCAGAATAACTATATTTTGTCCTTGGGAAGTTTTTTTAGCTCATTTTTGAACACGATAGCTAGTCTATTTCCGTTTTCCTTATACGCTGTAAACAACGTCTGCTAGCCTAATCCCTATCCTCTCAAATAAGAAACTGACCTGTATTTTCCCTATTCTTGCGTTTTCCTCTTTACAGTCCTTTGGATGCTGTCCACAAGTGGTTAAGGGAAACTCAGCTGAAACATGCTTCTAATATGGGTTTCAGTCCATCCAAGGAGAGAGTAATTCTCGGTTCTGCTGGAATACTCGACTCGGATAATGTGGATCGTGTCTTGGGGCTGTTGTCCCGTGCTGTTGAACAACTAATTGACGGAGCAGCGCTTGATTTTCCCCTAGAGAAGCTGTTGTGTTTTGCTGGAGCCCTAATTGCTACACTAAGGAAGTCGGATAAATACTTAGATTCCGGCCTACATTCTGCTCTGTTATTCGATCCTCTCGTTGATCGGTACGTCTGTTCTCTATTTTTGGTACTGTGTCATGTTTTATTTATTACAGCTTATTCGTTTGAGCTGTGTAATACGAATGTTAGATTGAAGCTTTTTCTAAGTTGTTTGGTTCCATAGATATTCATCCACTGTTCACTGAGACATCTGAGGCATTTGGTTGAAAGATCCGCCTGCCAGTGCAGAGTAGCCCTCGCACCTATAGTCCGCACGTCCTTCTTGGGTAGGCTAGCTATCTGTTTCTTCCATTATGGTCATCCGCTTGTCCACCGACGAAGTCTGAATACTCGAACCAGTTTTCTGAGAGACCGCTTCGTCGGGTTTTCAGGAAGGCAGTTTAGTTATCCCTAACATGCGTACCACCAGCGTACTCATAATCTGGGTATATCACTGGACACCGGCTTCTGTGGAAGTGCTGCGATCAGGGGACCCTGGGGAGCACCTCTTCAAAGTGAGTTACGCTGGGGGAGTTACTCTAGAGGCTTTTGCAGGGATTTCTAACACTCATCCCGTTTGCCCTCATGTCCTTGATTTCAAGCATCCAAGGACAGTACTAACTGTTCTTAAATCAGGCGCCTTTGAAGCTTCTACGTCCTCTGAGTACCATTAATCTTTTCTAACCAATTGCCCTATTATCCTGACCAACCCAGCTTCACAACAGTTACTTTTGGTGATGTGGCATGGCAGGTAGTGCCACAGTTGTCACTTTTCGTTTTATGCTGGGTATGTGGTAAATAGTGGTCGTCAGTACTCTCGCCTCGTATTCGAGGTTTTGCGTGCGTCAAACTCTGAGTTACAAAGGGAGTACGCCCAACAATCCAGCTGCCGGACAATCGTTCAGTCCGGCAAATCAATAAACTTCGACCACGTCCTTGGCTTTTCGCTTGTTGTATTTGACTGCCTCAGTCAGATGGAGTGGGAATCCATGTGATCCAAGTAGATTGTTGATGTTTTGCGCCTTAATTATGGCCGCCATCAGTTTTTGAATGGTAGTTCCGTTCCGATCGTCAGTCTTCATTTACGGTGGTTTTTAGCAGTCCAGCTGGCATATAGTTTTCAAAAAACACTTTCATGCACCGCCCCCGCTGGTCTCTGTAACAGCTGGTGATATTTAGCTGGTCAAAGTATTTTCCTCAGGAAGACTAAAGTTTCTGGTTGGACGTTTCTACCGCCTTGTTTGTTTGATGTGCACACTTGTTGGTGATATTCATGTGATTTGGGTTAAGGAGATAAGTTCTACCATAACCGTCAGTTTCTTGGTCAGATTCGTCTGATAGAATTTTGTCCCTAACCGACCGTTTTTGAACTGGGCCTGTAAGCACCATTTCGTTTGGTCTCCGAAGAATAGCTTTTTTTGGTTTACGGTTTCGCAACAGTTGTTTCATCCTTATTCTTGACCTAGCATTATCGACTGCACAACTAAGACGCGTCGATCTTTCTAGTTCTAGAATTTCCAATAATTGATATTGTACGGAAACTTTCAAGTCCTGTTGTATGGTTTATTCTTTCCGCGAGACGAAAGCACATCTATTACTTATTGCGTCATCTCAATTTCCCCTTGTCTTCACAGTCTCTGTCAGCTGTTGATTTCGTCTTTCTTCAACTCCCAACGACCTCTGATCCATCTAATTTACCTGTGGGCCTTAGTTGCTGATCCGTTGATGTCCGTTTGTTACGTTCAATCAAAGTCTTGTGTCACAGGGTCTGAGGAACAGCGCCTACTCCATCAACGAGTCCTCGCTTGTCTCCATACTTGCATCGCCACTCAAATCACCACTTATCCGGAGTTTCCCCATTTCAATGTCAACGAGGCCTTATTGAAACCATTTGAAAATTCACTCAATTTAGGTAAGTAGTTCGACCAGCATTTTTACCGCGATATGGTCACGTATTCACAAAGTTAAGCTAAAATCTTGCTCGGTACGTTTGAAAACTCACGCGCGTCATGTGTCTATTTTCAGAGCGCTGTGATGGTGAAATTCAAGATCGAATCGTTTCTTGCTTGTGTGAGCTTATTGAAACGAGCGGCGAATATCTTCGATCAGCTTGGCGCCCACTATTCCGCGCTCTGCGTTCCGTTCAGCTGAACTTCCTCTTCCCCTTGAGAATTGTGCCAGGGGACCGTTACGCTAGCGCTCGCTCTCATTTGTCCACGATCAGACAGCTGTTCCATCGGCTTCGGAGTCCATCTGGATCAATGAAAGCGGTACAGTACAATGGTAGTATTGTAGCTGACGAAACCGAGCATGAGGTGGCCTCTTGTGCAAAACACATTGGAACTGTAATGGAAGTTTTTGAGGTTAGTTAGTTAGTTTTCTTTCCTAAACTTTCGCTCTCTATACGTTTTCTACTGCGACCCCATTGTCCATAGTCTTAACGTTTGCATAGAACCCTGTTTCTTGAGCGGACTGAGTTATTTCAAATTTTGTTCCCTCGTGCTTATGTGACTACTCATGAGGCATCTGGAGCTCTTGAGGTTTTCGATAACTTGGCCCAACCGAGAGGTGAAGCATCTTCAGGCGGAGGCATTACAACTAAAATGGCTGTCCGACTGGCGTTTAGGATTGTCCATTACCCGTGGCACACGAGAATCGTCAACTCCTTCCTCAAAGAACGCCTTTAAAACAACTCCTATCCCACGAATTAAATACATTCGCCAACTCGTGGTTTGATCACCGCTGCTTATGAAATATCTCGAGCGTGTGGTGGAGGCAGTGTGTTAATAACTTTCACTTCCTGTTAGCAAGACTAGAGCAGGCGGTAGCTGGAAAGCAAGCAATCTGACGATGGGTATATTATATTCCTTTGGTTTGAATGTCCAAAGTTGTCGACTAAATAGTACAGAAATACGATTTCAACAACTAATTGGCTTCAGTACTCACCTCATAGACAAGGATAAACAACTTCTGAGGTCTATTTCGATAAAAGAAACTACTCACAAGGTTTCTGAAACTTTGAAAGCCCTATCCCACGAATTAAATACATTCGCCAACTCGTGGTTTGATCACCGCTGCTTATGAAATATCTCGAGCGTGTGGTGGAGGCAGTGTGTTAATAACTTTCACTTCCTGTTAGCAAGACTAGAGCAGGCGGTAGCTGGAAAGCAAGCAATCTGACGATGGGTATATTATATTCCTTTGGTTTGAATGTCCAAAGTTGTCGACTAAATAGTACAGAAATACGATTTCAACAACTAATTGGCTTCAGTACTCACCTCATAGACAAGGATAAACAACTTCTGAGGTCTATTTCGATAAAAGAAACTACTCACAAGGTTTCTGAAAACTTTGAAAGCCCACAAGCCGGTTTCGCCCTTCTTTGGGCTCATCAGGTAGGCGCAGTCCCCGAGTTTCCATCAACCTTGTTAGCTACTTGAACCCCAATTGCACCGTTTCGAGAAATGCGTTTGCAAGTCAATTTGGCTTTCACGAGAGACTCAACTGAATCTCTCGTTTATGGTATTCTACAAGTGAAGGTGCTGCACACAGGCTGCCTCACGTTTCAGTTGGCAAAATATTCGAGATATCGCATTATATTTTCATAAAGGAAACTACTCACAAGCAGCTGCTTGCCTGAGCCATCAATTTTGTGGGGCTCCGGACGGGCACATTACTTTTATTCAGTTTATGAAAGAACTTCAAGTGTTTCTACCACCACTACATCGAAATTTCAACTTGCGCCGCATTTGTCTTAATGCCTGTACTGACCCCAAAGGCTCTACATAGAGGCATACAGATAAAAATTAATATCATGATCCATCATGACTAAGCCTTTCAAAACCTATATCTGCAGACATTCACCGGTTCGTACCGCACTGTGGAAGTTTTTTTAGTCCACTGCGCCCTGTGGTGTTTTGATATGGACGACGGGCTTTCCATATCACCACGAACAACCTACCCTGTCGATTGTTAATCCAGTCAGAAGATTTGAACACGTTTTTCCTATTGTTTTGTGCAGTAACTTAAAGTTATGCTAGGCATGCGCAAGTTGCTCAGCCTTGCTTGTCTGCCTTGTTACTATTCTTGGAGTACACAACCAAAAAACTTCTCAAAGCGTCAGCCGTTAGGTTTTCGGTATTCCAAGTATCTGCTGGCAAAGCATCATGTCTCGCCTTATATAGGTTGAATATCGACATGGACCGTTTCCTGATTGTCTTTCATACCCCGAAAGAGGGTACCTGCCCCATGGTATCTGTGGCATAAATCTATCCCAAATAAATATTGCTTCCATCATGTTGCCTAGGTTTTCCTGGCGACTACCAACATTCAAGTATTCTGTGATGCCGCAGTGGACTGTGTCTTGTGTCTACTCCACTACGTAAAGGAAGGATCTACACAGTCTGTCGTTGATTGCGGGGATGAATCGTTCGCTGAGTCCGATCTGAATACGTTTGAGAACTTTGTGCACATGACCGACGATGGACCTTGCAGCTCGGCAATATGTCTAACAGGTGGTCAAGGTGATTTACTCCACAATCTTTTCGAACCTGTCATGGTTTCAAACCAGCCCGAAAGTAAGTGTTTGCTTCATAGGCGCGCCTCTTCCCGCAGATGTAGTAGATATCTGTTTTTATGCAATTCCATTACGATGAACGCATTTTTCACTCCTCTGGGATATCCTATCGCAATGTTTCTCTCATAATCGTCATCAGCTGTAATAGCCGCGTACTTGCCTTTCAGAGGTTCTAGCTGCCAAAGTTTCGTTCACCGATGGTTTGGGGAGATGAGGTAGGTAGCTGCACATTCTATACGATAATTGATATAACTGGTGTGTAAATACAGGCTCGTTTGTGAACTTTTACTTAGAAGGTTGGCAGAGGAGCTACGCATTAAAGGCAACGCCACCATTAAGAGCTCCACTAAGCCATGTGTGACACTGTCTCTTGCCAGTGATGTGTCCCGTCTCGAGGTCCTCACCAGGTAACGCCAATGACAAGCGCAAATGAGTTTGCTAGTAGTGGCTTTCATTGTTCGCTGCAAAGTCATTGTATGACCCCATTGGATCGTTTCCCCTCCATCACAATGTTGCGAGAAGTCGGTCGACTGGGATACTGAGATAGTCTGTGGACTTTGAAAACCCAACCCACGTCGCAACCATTTCGGCCTATTTTGGCCTCAACAATCTTGAGTATGTGGGTGCGAATTGATTAGACATTCTCATCTGTTTCCAGAAGCTGGTTGTTTATCTCACGACCTTCCTAACTACTGGCATCAGTTGTGATAACACCTAGAAATATTTTGCATCCCATTATCTGAGCAAATGCGATTTTGGTGCTAAGGATGGCAATACATCACTATGGGCTCGCTGAACTGAGACTAGAGTTTGCAATGTTTGGATAAAAAGAAAAAGATGGGAATTCGGGTTTTTCACCGAGCGGCTTCAGTTTGGTTTCTATTTCAGTTTTAGGTTTTTTTGTATCTATACAGCTGCCTTAAGTCTCATGGGCCTGAAATCTTGGTCTTCTTTGTCCTTTGAATACATCAAATTTCTTGGCAAGAAAATATTCCCCGCATTCTTTTGAAGATGTGCAATTTGGTGTGGTCATGTCTGGAGAGCTCAATATCACTAGGTGTTCAACGGATTAACACATCTTTCTGCTAAAGTATCTCGACATAGAAAAGTTGCTTGTTACCGTCTTCCTAAGTCCCACCATTTTGACCGCTCATTGCCTTTTCGACTATGTTGTCTGCCCTCACTTAAACTAACACAATTCTTTCCATCGTTCCTCTTGTTTAGCTGAAAATTCAGATGGTCCGAACACTATGTTCATATCAGCACTTAACAGTTTAATCCGTTGCGTCTGTTGGCTCGAAAGGCTTTGGACCATGCACGAAGTCCCGTGCCTACGAGATGCACTCCGACAAACGGAACTTCACTGTGGGCGATTTGTAACAACCGGCGATACTTCGTCTGTTTTAGACTCCGTGTTTCAGGTGAGCACTGCATTCAAAGCTTGATGAATAAGTTTTACTTCTCATGGAACGTACGAATGGTGGTTGAATTCACATTTGAGTTGGTTCGCGCTACTTTCCCGAAGTCGCTCATGCATTTGCATGCATATTTACATTGCTTTCAAAGATAGGAACGGTATCTCCGCTTTCCATTTTCTATCAGGCCACATCACTTGTACTTCCCCATTTTCCGTGCTTTGCCTGTCCTCAGTAGGCAAACCTGTAAAAGTACTATTGAGAGAGACAGTATTGAGAGACAGTATGGTGCACGAAGTGATTATAGTACGCAAACATTTTTCACAGAGAACAGGACGTTTTCCTGAAATGCATATAAAAAAAACCGAATGTTGATACTCCGTCAAGTCAAAATGTCATTTAAGTCTTCCGAAATTCCTATCGCAAAAAGTACAAGACCGGTGCAGAGTGAAGTTAGGAATATAATATTCACCACCCAGTCTAGTGTACGCACACTCCCGTCCATCCAAAGTGTGGCTGGAGAAAAGATATTCTCATAAATAACTTCATGTTTTCGAGAAATACACTCATTTGCAAGTCAATTTGGCTTTCACGAGAGACTCAACTGAATCTCTCGTTTATGATATGAATGGCTCAGACAAGCAGCTGCTTGTGAGTAATTTCCTTTATGAAAATTTATCCCGATATCTCGAATATCGTGCCAACTGAAACGTGAGGCGGCCTGTGTTTAGCACATTCAGTTGTAGATTCAGTTGAGTCCCTCGTGAAAGCCAAATTGACTTGCAAATGAGTGCATTTCTCGAAAACAGTCCAATTTGGGTTCAAGTAGATCATAAGGTTAACGGAAACTCGGGGACTGTGCCTACTTGATGAGCCCCAAGAAGAAGGGAGAAACCGGTCGTGGGCTGTTAAAGTTTTCAGCAACCTTGTGAGTAGTTTCCTTTGTTAAAAATATCTTCATGTTTTGTTAACTGCTAATGTGGCTTCCGCAGATTGTCCATGCGGGAGCAGCGGAACTTACATTATTAACGATCTAGCTCAACTGATTTTAATCGATTGCGTAAATACCATCGGATAATATTGAGACGTTTTCACCAGGATGAGTGCGTATTTCAACAAGTCTGAGATAAAATACTTCATTACCAAACCGTGCAGCTTTCTGGTAGTGTGAATGTGAACCGTTTCGGATACCTGTGGAGAACAAGTAGAACAGTTTGCTGTGCCAGTTAAACACAGTTTTAGGAATACAGTTAAGTTTATGGAAGGGTATCGATTCAAATCTCTGTGAATTCATGACAGATAATATGTAAAATAGACGCATTCCAGTTCAGAAAAAAAAAGTATCAACATTTATATGGTTCGGCTGTCGTCAGTGAGGGGTGTACTGAGTTTATGTTTATTTCGCATGTGACGTTTGTGTATTCTGTTGTTATAACTTGTTAAGTTAACATTTTGGGATAACGAAATAATCAGACGTTTTCGTGTGGTTTTACTTAGCTGTCCTCGAAAAATCCTCCTTTACCCCACAATATGATGAAAGAATCGGAAAAATATGACTCTATGAGTATTGTTTCGCACGGCACGCCTGTGTCTTTTTGTTGGTCAAATACATCAAACTGATAAAAATATCCAGAGGAATGACGCTGGTGTATAAAAATTATTGAACCTTTCCGAATTTCATATGGAGGTTATACACTTAGTCTGTCTGAGTCAAGCTCAAACCTGTCTCAAACTATCCCTTCTAGACCGATTTGGCTGATCTGGCCGCACTGGACAACGCCAGCGGCATCCTACATTTGTATTTTCTTATTGTCCGCCAACTTACCCAACTGCTAGGCCACTGCACGGCCCCAACCCAACGACGTATTCTTATGGATCATGTCATCAAGCTTGTTCATGCGGCGCCTCTCATATTCGCTGAAGATTCACAATCAACCAGTCCTAGTGCGGAATCCGTCTTTGCTGTCCTGATGGCCCATCGCATTCTTATACCTGGTTTAAAGGTTCGTCTCTAATTTTTCTTCTATTCTTGGTCCACTGGTTTTGGCTTAAATGATGGGTTCACAGTTACATGAACGCGGGAATCCGCCGGTTATTGGTTCAGGTATTCCGTTGTCAGGGTGCATCATGATTAGTTCTAGCTAAATGAACCGCGATTTTTTCTCTAGCTCAATTTTGCTTGAAGGAGTGTCCGTTACTGTTGGCCGATTTTCTGTTCTAGCGCTTGTTTGCTTTTTCCAAGTGAAGGCTGTCCCTCCAACCCTAGCAGTATGTTTTTTCTTATTTTTTATTTTGTAATTTGGCGTTGTTTTCGCTACACGCCGTTGTTTTAACCGGTTATCTTTTCTCTCGCACAGGAATGTATATGCCATTATCTGGCCGTCCGCTCCACTTCGGACGTTCGTGCCGTATCATTCAAAATGAAAACCAACGGGATCTGTGTATGCAGTGATGAGAGTCCTCAAACTCAACTCTCTCCCTCTCACTCAAGCTCCGATAATCCGCTGATCGGCTCGGTAGGCTCACCGGGTTTTGGAGATTTACGTTTCATCCGACTGTTTCTTGGACAGGCTGCTGAATTAGTTATGGATTTCGTGAGACAGTTCGCTATGGGTATGTCGCGTTTGTCGCTGCGTTGGTTGACTTATGTATGAGTTCCTTCGCTGTGCGAACACAGAAGTGCTCCGGATGGGGTAAACCTGCTTGTCAGCAGGCACTTTTCCTTTCCATGGGTTTTTAGTTGCGAATAAACCACTTGCGATGGATAGTTTGCCGTTGACGATATTATTTGGACGCCGTGTGTTCTACCTGGTCATCTGCTTCCTGAGGAAATCATCTCAAATTTCCTTGACGGTGTCGTTTCAGGGCCGATGCGAACAGCTGAAGTTTGCCACTAATCCTTGAATCTACCGACATCTGGAACCAGTCCATGTGGTAGATTCGTCGCAGACAGGAGGATCTTTTCATTCGATTGTCATCGGCTCCTCCACAATAGCTCAGATTTATGGCGTGCGAGGATCGATTTGGTTAGTCGCTTCACGTCAGTCAAGGTGTTCTTGTCTAGTGCTCACCTTGGTGGTTCTGGGAGTCCTGGATAACTTCATTCCATGTTAATGGCCTCGGAACTAGTTTTGTGATTGCTGATCTCTGGTGGATTTGCCGACTCCTCGCTTCACTCTGCTGCTTTGCTGCTGAAGGCTCTCTTAGGACCGTTTAAGCTAACTTACCATTTTGACCCAGACATCCGAGTGCATGTTGACCATAAACAAATAATCACATTACTATGGGATTAAAAAAGTTTGGTTACTCCATGGACTACTGCTCCCACTGAAATATGTTCTACAACTCTTGCCACAGAGGTCCAAGCTGATAGACAAGATTAACTCACTGATTTTACCCACTAACGTTCATTTGCTCAGACAAGCTGGACAACTGATAATCTTAGCTCATATTCTGGGGGACTGGATCCTGCTATCTGTCGCCTCTCAGAAACTCGTTTGCATGACTCCGGTCGGCTTCTTCAACTGCGTTCTCCATCCTCGAACCACAACTGGGCTTCTTTTCCACTTACCCCGCAAATCCAGAAGCTCCGTCAGATGGTGTTACAGGTTTGGGTGCAGCGCTTAGTAAACATAACAGAGCCGCTTCTCCGAAACGGATACGAGTCAACGGACTATTCGCTTAGTATGTTAGGTCTGCCAATGTAAATGTCTATCTTTATTGTTATCGTCTCTGTTTATGCACCCACCTCTACCTATGCCTGCGCCCTCAAATCGATCAAACATGATTTGTATGATCAGCCCGATTACTTGCTGGGAGGAGCCTCAGGTGCTAACACTGGTGTACCTACTGTAGATGCGAACGCGCTGTTAGGTCTTCTTGCATTACACGACATGCATCTTGTGGGTTCCGATGCCCTTAATATAACTAGGAAAGACAACAGCGACCACATTCTTACTCTGGTTACTTCGAATTCCTGACAACATAAGTGCCATTGCGCAGCCTGGCATCTTCTGTACGCCGAAATTGGAATTAGACTGATATCGCGTAATGATTCTGTCTAGATTGTCGTTCAACCTAGAGCCTATTTGGAATATGACTTGTCATTGGTGTGAACCTAACCTTTTTTTCAAAATTGAAGAAGTAAACTGGGGAGAAGCGACCTTACCAGGTCAGCGCAGCCAACTGGTGTAGCATCTTTCTGAAGTGGACTCGCCGCTAAACACTTCATATACAAAACTTAAACTGACATCCGCCGTGAAACCAATCGTGCACCCAGGCCGTGGATTTTCGGTAGCTCTGTTCAATTAATCCAGTTCCGGATAGCCATTCATCATGATCATGGTCAAAGTATTGTGCGATAGACCATGGGGTACTAGTTTTCCAGGAGTCTGATAAAAAGATGAAATTCGGTCTAACAAAGGGACCAAAGAGATTAAATTGCCGACAGCCGGCTAATCAGATCAGTTTTGTTGCGAAATAACTTAAGCTAACTAGTTTGTCAGTCAAGTGGAACCCGACTAGCAAATCTTCGGTAAATGAGTCACCGAGTAGAGCAATTGAAATCACACTCTAACTGGCCATTTATTATTCGCTCCGGTCGTGCCGGTCCTTGAAGTCGTCTCTTGGTCCGTCCCTACGTCTCCATCCACAGAACGAAATCCGCGAGTCCACGCGTTCACTCCAGGGACACATCTTCTGGCGAAGATGGATTTCCGGAACGTTTCAAGTTAGACTGTGGTACTTTGTCCAATCGGTTGTTCGACTTGTTTTAATGACGTCTCCGTCCAAAAGTGTATTCCAACCTTCTGATCATTGATTATCCTAGTACCCAAAAAATTTGAGAGAACAAAGTGTTTGAATCCTCATGTGTCCTAGAATCCCACGCCTGTCATTCTTCGAATGTTGTCTGCAGTGTACAGGCTGAAGAATCGTGAATATCAAGCTGAATTCTGCGGTGGACGCAGTTGCGTTCAAGTAACGACAAAATTTGGAGCACAAATGCGATTATCCCTTCGTGCAACTTTCAGTGCGGTTGATAGGATGTTCTTGAGAACTGAAGGTTGTACACTGAATCATTTTTCTATGGAAGAAAATGTTGGTAGCTCAGGTAGCGTAGATGGTGGTCGTTGGCTTGTTCGCTGAGCTGGGCAATTTGATTGCAAACGTTTCATCATCAATCGAGGTGACATCATCAGTGCGTTATTGTGGAGCGTAGGGGTGCGTAGCAGTGGGTTGGTGGTTATCCACAATAACGCACTGATGATGTCACCTCGATTGATGATGAAACGTTTGCAATCAAATTGCCCAGCTCAGCGAACAAGCCAACGACCACAAACTGAATCACTTTGTTCACATGTACAGCCGGTTATCATCGAGCTACAAATCATTAGCGGAGTTGACAGGAATTGCTCAATAAACGACTTTTCCCGAGCTGATCTGTTTCAGGAGCTGGATGACGCGAAAAATGGTATAATGTAGGGTGAATACCTGGCTGCTGCCCGAGCTATCCTTGCTGATCTTACACTAGGAGCGTGACGTGCGCTTCCCATTATGTGAGCACAAACTTCCTGTACCAGACTAGCCCGTTCCTATACTTGCCTCGACTTTTGTGAATGATTTGCTTGAGGTTTTGAGTTGTTGGATGTAACGTATGGGCTGATGGTGATTGTAGAAATAGCCTTCCGCACTGCCACACAACAACCGCACTTGCTGTGTCAGTTATGGCTACAGTGAGGTGTTAGCCTGCACCTGATCTAAGCTCTACTTCTCTATCATTGCGAAGACTGGTTGCCAAGTGAACAAGAGATAGAACAGCTGTCTGCACCCGACCAACATTGTCTATCAAATGTCTCACACCTATGTTGGCATCAGCCATCCACGCCCTATCTATGCGTAGCTGAAAGTAACGCAATTTTTTTGAGACCAAATGGCCTGAAGGCACATGGACGGTCCTCTATTCCTCATGATCATTAAGGCGTTCTGTCGATTTTACGCCGTCTTTTATATCCCTCATGTTTTCTGGTTGTATTCGTCATTCACTGACCGTAAAATATCCAGTTTCTCTCCATCATTTGTTAGAAATTCGGGCCTCCCGTAATTTTGTTGCGCTGAGAATTAATTGCGAGGTTCTCTGGCGAAATATCCCTTCTTATGTGTCGGGTAGTTTCGTTTAATACCAACCACTTTGTTTTGCTCAGATCCCCTCGTTGCTGATCATGTTCGTCAGTTGTTTGATGGATGGCTACAACTATTACACGTTGCCATCGAATCTGTACAATGCCCTCTATCTCATCTTGGAGCGGCTTGCATGGGGTAAGTTTCCTTCTAGTCTGAAGTCTTTGTCCACTGATGTGCCTCCTTAACCCCATCTCGCCACACAGACAAAAGTTGCTGGGTCATTCAGTGGTCAGTTATCTTGTTGGTGTGCTTTATGCACCCCCTGCCCATTATCAATAAACAAAAAACACCTTACTGGATCCACGCGATCCTTTCTACCTAGGATCAACGTCGGTACAGTATTTCAACTTGGCAAACAGGCAATGCTCGATGAAATCTTATACACCCTTAAAGTTTATGCATTGCGTGTGCCTGAAACACGCAAGCGTGGTTATGTATCTCAAAACTCCAAGCCACCGATGAACGAAACTTTGGCAGCTAGAACCACCGTACGATAAATGCTCGTAAATGCTACAGATGATAATGACTGTCCGGCAACCACTGAGTTGTGGTTCCTCATCGTAATTGATATTCGGCAAGCCATCATTTAACCCACCAAACTTTTCTACCTGTGGTTCGTCTTGTCTGGAGTTCCTCATGTGTTTGAAGTTTGTTTTTTTAACGAACACTAGATAATGCTTTGACTTGTACATTTGTAGGGGGCGACATGGTTCAGTGGTTAGAACGCGAATTTACTGACCGTAAGGTCCTTGGTTCGAACCCGACCTCTGCTTCTCGACTTCCCTGTCTAGGCTTGGGCAACCTGGCAGTATCCCACCCCTCGTGCTTCTTTCGGGTTGCGTGGCAGCTAGGCACCGAAAGGGTGCTAGAGCTGAATTATTATTATTATTATTATTATTATTATTATTTTATTATATTATTATTATTATTATTATTATTATTATTTGTGCGTTTGTCGATCCGCAAATCTGCTTATATCATAATAATCACGACGATGGGAATAGCACCTTTGCCACTGTCGCATATAGGTATTTGGAGACGGAGCTGTAAGACCGGAATAGTGCTTTAGCTGTCCCCTTATTATGTATTCTAGTCCTTTTTGACTTAATTAATGAAACGGTGCAGCTTTAAGCGTAACAGTTGCCCTAATACCTGGATATCAGCTTGCGCTTTCTTTTGTTTTTTGTCAAGACACACGCTGCTACACCACGGCTTTTGTCTTCCACCTTCCTACTGGCTTTCGGCTATTGATCATCTTCACAAGGCCTTGGAATCTACCTTTTCTCCAGTTGAACACTTAATATGTGAGAATCCAAGTATTCATACTTACTCCCTAATTCGTGTGGAATACTTATGCCCACAAGACACTAATCGAACAAAGTATATTCGACTCCTCGGGCAGAAATTATTTTCCCGCACTCCTGGTACAAACTCATCGACGTCTTGTGACTACCCTACTGATGAAGAAGTGGATTCGCCTACGTTGTCCTTCGATAAACGAATTGCGACGCAGTTTCAAGAAATCGATGAAACGTAAGTGTATCTGGCCTTTGGATTGAATTTTTTTCATTATTCCTAGCATGTTTCCCCTAGTAGATTATTCTACGGGCAGCGATGATAACTAACATGGAGGCGTAAACGTTAATTGCATTGGGTCGAGTAGTCTCCTTGGATCTGTTGAACCCCTTTTTGACCTCCGAAGACATTGAGAAGGTATCGTCGTCTTTTTATGCGCTAGATTTAGATACCTTGGCTGCCTGCAGAAACCTCTCTCCTTCAGCCTCTTCGTAGAAGTTGACAAGTGTTTTTCGACGGTCATGTGTTCACTGTGTATTGCTGTTCAGCTTATCAGCCATAAACCATGTACAGAAGGTACACGTTGTTTTCAACTGCTATAGTTTCGGTCAGCGAGAAATACGAGAGCAATCAAGACCTGCCCAGGAGTTGGAGACAATGGTGTAATCGTTTAATTAATGTCTAGTCGTCTGGGGAAAAATAGACTGGGCAGCTGCGCACTGAAGGCCAGAGCTGTGATTCAGGAGCACCACACACATGATTGGGTTCTGTCCGCCGATATCCTTAACCACTGATAAGCTGAATTTCTACCAACGGAGTTCTCAACCCAACTAATATTACTTTTTACTGCTCTCAAGCATCCTTGCCGCACCATAGATTGTCCGCCTCTGGGACTCTTTTACTCAGCACACGACTGAGCAAGAAGAGCTATGCAAAGTAGACGGCCGTTTGTCTTGCGAAGTATGTATCCTAAACCACGTAACCTGTGAAGCTTTAGTAGCCCGCCGATCGCTGAAGACTTCCCCCAAAACCCGAAAATCTCGGGGTTGCTGGTCTAGACCCGTTCAGTACTTCGAAAACATTGATGTTCAGATTCCGAGAGTTTTGATGCATTCTCTGAACGCAGAGAACACGTTTCTGATCCAGGAAGCAGTGTGGATCCCATTGTCGCAGTGTATACTCTTGACAGGTGAATCAAGCCGAGGCCATAAATGTGAAAAAAAGCTCTCTGACCTCAATTCGAGGCGTGAGTTTATTACTGGCTATCCTTCAAACACTATTTGTGGGTGTAATCCCACTCAGTTTTGCGGTAGCACTTTATATTTCCAAGATGTGGGGCAAGTATCAAACTGTGATTAGACTATATGGGATATCTAAGGTGGTTTGTGCTTACGAAGGAGAACAGCGTAGTCAATATCCTTGATCGAACGTCCGGTAGAATTTTCTATCTTTTAGAGGTGTCTGCAGGTGATACCGTGCCACAGACAACCGAAGTTTTAAAACCTCGTATTTGGTATCGTCAGGAGAAATGCATTACTATAGATATCTCAATGTATACTGATAACATTGCACTATTTGGTACTGCACTATTTAGGAAACCAATAACACGTTGGGCTTTGTACTGCTCACTAAATGTGAAAACGAATATTCTTTTTCCTCTTATTAAGTTTGTTGTCAAACGACATAGGTCTCCCGGATAGTTTCCCACACAAGCCGACGAATGCAGGTATGAGTTCGCTATCTTCGTATTGATTAATATCAGTCGTGCCCTCATGAATCCTTTTGATTTATCGTTCCCATAAGGCAGCCTCCACTGTTGATGGGTTTCCTCACCGAAAGTTTGTTGTCTCGTATCCTTTGTAGGACTCACACCTTGGTTATACGTCCGAAACTTGAAGATATTGTACGTGGCCTAATAAGCCATGGTATTCTTTCGCAAGTGGTGATACTCCTCTTAATCCCCAAATCTCTTCCCACGCATTTGTTCATGCCGCTCAAGGGACCGTTCCCACTACAGTCCGAATGGGGACATGTTGGCATCCCTGAGTCTCGTAAGTGATGATGATCATTACTGTGGCCGGATCCTCTAAGCTGATCACCATCTTTGTTACCTACGCACTTTTATTTGATAATCCCCATGTTGTTCTTCGCCCGCTGTATTTTAGTAGATTTATCCCACTTGTTTTTGGTATCTTAAACCACAGTGGAAACACGGAATCTTACTACTTGAAGACCAAGACTAGCTACTTCTAGTAGACGTCATCCTCTTGGGTATCCTTTATCATGCCTGCTGATCAGTGTCGTCACTTCAGTGCTACCGAAGGCGTTTGTTTTCACACCGCAGGGATATAGAGTTTATAAGTACTTATCATGGGGTGCCAATCTCATTTCTGTTATCTATGATTCATGCAATATCAAGCCGGTTGCACCACTTCAGGACGCAGTTTGGATGAATTATTGCCCGTGTGTTAATGCAGGCATAACGTGTTTACTAGTTCATCCCGGTATACTTGAGTGTCACTTGAACCGGAAGTTTCCATTCGATTCGAGCGATTTCTCGGACGAACCTGGACGGCGAAGCGCTCCGCCCGATATTTCAAGGCCGTCAGTAATGTTTCCGAAAGCAGTAGTGGATCAGTCGACTCCTCATAGTAATATTCCTGTTCGTCATATCGATTAAGTTCTGAACTTTTCAGCTTCACGAAAGATGCATATAAGGAAGTATTTTGCTCTTGGCACCAATATAAATGTTTGGGAGTAATCGTTCGGTAACATTTTGAAGAACATGATACTCAGTGGTTGCTCATTACTTCAGGTATATAAAGTTCTATAGTGTAAACCCTGATATCTGAGCTTTTGAAGGGTGCAATGCACATACCAAAATTATGTGAAGGCTACAGAGTCAGTCGCTATTAGAAATTTTGACATGGTGTTTATCAGCCTCTTACCTTCGGGAATCGGTTACTATAAGAAAAAGGTAGCAGGCGTCCGTTCCGGAAAAGAGCAACCGAGCGAGGTTTTCTGAATAATCAATGTCCGCCGAATTAATACGCCTGTGATGACGATGGTCAGCTTCGTGTAGGCGAAACTGTCACCACGTAAACTCTGTCCATTCTTTGGTAGCCATCGTCACTGATGATAACAGTGTCTTTTAGTTTCGAGAAATGAGAAATGAGTTAAGTTGTTCGTTGTTTTCATAAAGGAAACTACTCACAAGGTTGCTGAAAACTCTTCGACAGCCCACGACCCGTTTCGCCCTTCTTTGGGCTCATCAGGTAGACGCAGTCCCCGAGTTTTCATCAACCTTATGTTCCACTTGAACTTTGTTTCTTTATTCGTATTTGTGGTAAAGGAAGTGGCCGTATCCTGTGGGGCTGACCGCAGCCACCTTCAAACAGGGAACGTTTAAGAGAGAAGTGGTTTTGGCCATCCAGAAAAGTGCTCTGACCCTAGGGAGTGTACCCTGAATCCTAGTAGGTTGACCATATCACAACTTTGTGCAATCATAATGTATATCATTTTGGCTTCATCGATCGTTTCTTCTTGCATTTTGCTTTTTAGAGTGACCCTTTTTTAGACTTCACAGGATAGAGTAGCCTTTTCTTCACACATACCACTCACCCCATTGTTTTTTCACTTTTTACAGTATTAGCTAATACTTTGTTCAAAACAATTACTCGTGATACTATTCTGCATTCTGTTTGCAAATGTCACATTAAACTGGATTTTGTCACATCATTCCTAATTCCACTCGTTATATTTTCGCTCTTTTTCCTTCTTATTTCGCTTTCAGACCCGATTTCGCTAGAAAATTTGTATACGCTTCTCATACCCTGTCTTGTTCGGAAGTTCAATGTATGCATGCAAATCACACGGTGTGGCTGGCTTCGAACTACTGTCCAAAAAATGTACGAGCTGCCTGCCGACTGCAATCTGTCGTCCCAGGTTGGTTTGGATGAGCGCTTTCAATTTTTAGATTTTCTTATTGCTGTTGTTGTTGCTTATCGTCGCGCATATTACTGTAATTGGTGCTAGCTAAGTGTCCAGTGCGACTTGGACCGCTTTCAGGGAGTAACGTAACATGCTTAGCGCCTCCGTTTGGCATAATGCGCGATAGACCCCCAAACCTTCGTTTTTTTGGACCGGTCGCACAAGTCCTCACTCTGTGCTTTCGTAAACAAGGTGTGTCTGAGCAATCTGCTATTGGTTTCATGTCTGTTTGAATTCCTGTTATTGCTTTTCTGTGTTCTATCTCTATGGAATTAAATGGTCTCTTCCTAACCCCCGATTGACCTACGTGGAACACAGTAGGCACAGTAGATTACATGTTAGAAAGAGTATGAAAACAAGATTATGAACTTTTAGGCGTTTTGTCTATACAGATGCTTAGGCTGACCAATCAGGAATGTGGTCTGTAACTTGAAGCGACCAATTTTTTGCGAATTTTGACGACATTTCTCGAATGCAGGGTCCACTACTATGGCATGATCTAGTCAGGTTGCATCCGGCAATCACGCCCGTTACGCAGTTGGGAAATTAAATAGGTCGACAATCTCGAAATCTAGGAAACGAACACCAGCTATAATGAGCTGTTGCTTGTATATGAATTCTTGCCCAACGTGATCCGAATTTCCGGGTCGTCCATAAAGCCTATCTATGGAACTGGTTGAGCAGCTGTTAGTCACATCAAGAACACAAGTGACAGTCATAGTCTAGTTACGCGGAGCTGATGCGTTTGTGTTCTTACACCCTGAAACATCACCGTTTCGGATGGAATTCGAAAATAGTGTCATGACCCCCATTCACTATTAGTCTCAGTGGAGCGAATGCCAATCTGTAAAGGACGTGCTTTGTTGTGCTTTTAAAGTTGAACAGAAACTGCTGATGTTCAAGACCCACTCCCCCAACTACTAGAGCGATCATTACATCACAGTCGTCTGTTCCAGTAGGTCAGTTGTTTACAGTGTGTTACACAGGCTAGTTAAGCTCGTGATACGTACACAAAACTTGACATATGAAGCAGGCTTCTCTGGAACCTAGACGTACCGAAAGCATGTGCACTAGTGATTTTTTTCTCTTCTTGCATGCTTCCTGGATGTGAGCGTAGATCTCAAAAAGGACCTTGAAACAAATAAGTCTGTCGCTCCTACATTTCACAACGCGGGAGAATATTACCGTGCCTGTTGGTTGAATTGCAGACGTTTAATCACCTATCGATGGGACATTTCCAGTGTGGGTTGAGTGGGTGAATTCCTCCTCTTCTCTCTGTGCTTATATAGCTTCTAAATAAAATCTGGTAGCTCTGAAGGCCGTCTTCGCGTAGTTTGATTAGTCCCCTGTGAATCCGAGTTGGTTTCAATCTCTTGTGTCTGGTTGTTTCATTGGACGCTTTCGATTCGACAATTCCGTGTGATTGTGTTGTACTTCGGCCGTTCTCTTCTTGCTTTGTGGTCTTAATTCGTTCCCTTGATTAGTTGATTCAGTAGCCTTCTGTTTTCAGTAGTGTTCTTCCTTTGGTCCCATTAGTCCGTTGGTTGTCGTTAGGTTTCTCCATTTCCCATGTGGCTCAGAGTCCCGTGACTGTGTATTTATTTCTTTTGCTCGAAATGTCGAGGTGTTTATTGATCGATCTTTGTGTGGAGTACCACGCCTCGGCAAACTCTCGCTCGCGTTTCGTTCTCGCGTGAGCAACTTGTTTTGTCCGTGTGTTACCTGGGTGATTTAGGAGCTTGATGGGAAAACCTCAAGAAAGAGAACAAAGGACACTAGACGAAGGTCAGTGATATTGCAGGTGAACCAATGGAAGAAAGAGCGCTGCGGCTTAGTTGGCTACAACAGAGAGAAAATGGAATCTCAGGACGTGATCTACCCAACATCTTTTTCAAAATGTGTGCAGGTTTTCAAATGTGAAATCACCAGTATTGGTGTAAATGGTTTTGGGTTACGACTGGACGACCGTCTTGGTGTGCATATGGATTCGACTTGGGGGCTGTCTGTTTGCACAGGGGGCACATGTGTGGATGGTATCCAACAAAATGTTCAGAAGAATTGAGTTATCCGATGTAGCCGGTGCAGCGTGCCCAAGGCGATGTTGATTCGCGTGACGGACCCGTGTGGCAGACTGTACGTCAACTTCGTATTTGACGTTACCCACGCGGCGCTTGATGTAACCATGAGTCCATTTCTCGCCACCGCTGCGATAGTCCTTAGCCAAGACCGAATCTTCGGGCTGATAGATAGTGTGGACAGCACCATTATGGCGGTTGAACTGTCGCTCCATTTGTGTGTTTCTTTTTCGTAGGTGCGGGGAGATGGGCGTTTTGGTCCGAAGACATGTTTGCTATTTGGCTTCAAATGAAGTATGGCTTGTGGTTTGGAACAATGTCCAAAACCACCTTGAAAAAAATTGGAACATTTTGATTGGATTGTGCGTGTGAGGTGTTGGGGAATCCTTGTATGTGTGAGATGCACGCTGTCACATACTGACTGTAGAGGGACACAAAAACGATTTAATTGAATTATCCAAACAAGCCGGGCAAATTCAGATCTGGACAATCTGTGAGGTAGCAAATGTCTTTACATCGTACATTATTGAAAGACACATCACAAGTGAGTTCATCCGTAAGCGGTAAGTTGTTACCAGTACGTTCATGCGAATTCAGATTTCAGCATGGTGTAGTCCAGTAAAACAAATGGGTAGGATGTATTCATTGGAGATGGATGTGTTGAGTTCTGGTTAACCTGATTTCAGAGTCAGTCGATAGTTGGAAATTCATTCTTTTAAAAAAAAATAGGCCGAAATCCGGCGTGATTTGCTGGCATCCTGAAGGCTTCATCGAAGCCACTCATAAGTACAATGGCTGTATGGAGTTTCTGATCGCCGGTATGTATATACTAAAAAATAGTTGAAATACGCGCATGTTCATATGCTCTGTAATCCATACGAATCTTTTGGATGTTCTCTAGAATAGAAGCAATGTGTTTTGTCATGCAAAAGTACAACTTTGTTGAATGTCACTGCACGTTTACTTAGAAAACGGTATGAACGGGGAATTCATTTGAGTTTAATGTCATATGCAGCGTGTAGCTCTACAAGAGTTTTTTTACTTCACCCTGTTGTTCGTATCTTTATGTGGTTCCATGTTCCTTACTTTGCAGGCAACTGATTCTCTGTCTCTTCTGCTACGTATTCTCGTCCAACTCTTTTTCCGACACAATTCAAGGGACTCGCGATGCAACGTCCCGATTCCCTGTTTAACATTCACTTCCGACGGGAACGCTCTCGTGTTATCCGAGTTTGGTACGACGTCATCTGTTTTAGCAGACTCACTTTCTCGTGTCTTATGCTTCTTGATGAGGCTTTACAAGCCATACGACGTTCAGGATCCAAAGGTGAGAATCCAGTCAGTTCGTTGTCGGAGCTTGTGGTGCTAAATTTGTATACTTGACACTTTTCGTCCAGGAACGAACTTACACCCTACTTCTTCCTCTTATTTTTCAGATATTGGATAAAACTATGTTAAGGGAGTCTCCCAAAGGTCCTGTCGGTCTATTGCCATGCAAGCCTTCTAAAGAATGTTGGGATACTGATGGCTTTCTATCGGTACTCACGGAATTCCTTGATTTCGTGCTCCAAATAATCCGTCATGTTGAGGCTTATCCAGAAAAATCGTGCAATGAGAATGATACTCCAGATTCATCACTGTTTTCGAACGCAGCTGACCTTGTTTCAATATTCACAGATACGTTGTTGCCGTTTGTCGACTTTCCTTCACCAGGAACGCACGAAAATGTGAAACGGGTCATTTCTGAGTTGGCTACTGTTTTGAAGTTTAAGCTCTAGTCATGTGCACCTAGTCCGTGTCGTTCTAACCATTTTTGATTGAACTGTGAGATCACCTGATGCATTTAGATCCCGATTTGATTTTGCATTCTTGCTGACATGCCTATCACCCAAATCTCCACCGGCCAATCTGCAGGACCACTGCCCACCTCGACTCCAGTGCTAGTCTATTCCATTTACTTATTTGCCTTCAAACTTCTTGTCTTTGCATTTACGAAGAGCATAATTTTGTTGTGATGTCTGGTGCATCGTTTTGTTTTTTCTTGATCCTCATTTTGTACTGTGATTGTGGAAAACTATATTTCACTCTGAATCTTCTTGTCAATTTGGGTGCCTTGAGGAAAGCACCCGTCAAATGGAGACTTCTCAACCCGAGATGTATTTCTTCCCGCCTGAGTTATGCTGTTTTATAGGATAAATAGGAAGGGACAAAATAGTGGCCAAAATCGCTTCAGAAATATTTCGTGAACAGTCGGTGAATTTATTGCTGGAATTTCCCACTAAAAGTCCTGACTTCTGCAGACCGAACCAGTAGGTTACCGGTTTGACTGATTTTTAAGGTAAACGGGCAAGAGCTCAGTAATATTGGTTCTAATTAGTGGACTAAATCAGTGTTGAATATTGGCTAAAGTTCTTCGTTGATTACTGTTGAAAATTTAACTTCAGCTTGAAAGAGGATCGGATTAGTTGGGAGACAGTCCTCCACTAGTGAGCGTCCAGTTCCACCTAATGCTGTCCGTGTTCAGAAACTGTGTGGTAACTTCAGACACTTACCTCTGTAAAGGATGGCCTCTGGTTCAGTCATTTTCTTTGGGCTTGAAAATGTGGCCAATAACTTTCTTAGTCGACGTTTAGTATGCAGCATGCTCTAAGTTGACACTAGCTCATGATGAACCCAATATGCGGATTCAAGGTGCCAAGACGTTATTAGGGTTCCTCGGGCATGTCACCCCTGATCAAATCAAACACGACGATATCCTCGGTAGATACTCCCATCCGACCTAGGCTTTCCGTTCAATGCTCATGAATGCAAAACCCGCTGCCTTTGGCCATCTGGTCTACTGAGTTGGACCCGGTCTCGTGCCCTTGTGTCTGCCATTAACTACCGTTTTGTTACTTCCAAAGCAGCCATCTTCCGAACATCTGTATAAATTGAGTTGATATTGTAACCAAGAATGTCATTATCCTTATCGTACAGAAACCTTGGCAGTAATGCGAGTGTTCATTGGTCTATTGGGAGAAAAGAACGTTTTGATTACAAACATATCGTTACCAGTCTATGTGACAGTGAGGAGCGAGGCGATTGGTCAGTTGATGTGCGGAGGCGCGCGTGTATTGGTGTGTGCGCTGCTAGCCGGGTCGCCACTGGCAGCCAATAAAGTGCGAACACTACGCCCACAATGGACACGAGTTCGTATAAACAACTTCTAACAAAATTGCAGCCGGATGGAGAGCGGCCCGAATAATTACCATTTCCGAACCACAGTTTCGGAGAACTTCCGGTGTGCGTATAGGACGCGCTGGACCGAATTCAGATCATCACTGGCTGTTCTATTATTTTGTTGGCTATCATTCGTCTCGATTGGTTTGTGACTCCGCGGAAAGATGTATGATATACCACGACGGATTCGACCAAAATGATAGTGAACTATATTCAATTTATGCACCACTACTTTCGAAGGATTAACATCTCAAGCGGGCTACTCATAAAATGCCTTCTAATGGGCCAAAAACCAGAAATAGTAGTCTCCTTCCGGGCGCATCAAGGTAGGTCACAATTTTAATCTATAGAGGCCAGTGATAGAAGTCAAAGTGCACCAACTGGTGGTCGAGAGCAAGTGTGACCGTGCCCAAAGATTGGTGCACTGGATAACATGTCGAACAGTACAGTCACCCTACCGAGCGACCAATCGTGATCAAACATTAGCACCGGCGAGCAGTATTACACTAGCACAAAACTACTCAATGTGAACCAATAACGCGTTGCTACTCACAAATCCGCTGTCTAATGACACCTCGATTGGCGATGAAACGTTTGCAATCAAACTGCCCGACTTTGTGAACGAACTAACAATCATTCACACTACATAAGCCACTAACGCTCACTCCAACGTCAGTCATGCGAACTGTGAATGTGTGTGAGTGCTTCAAGCTGCTTTAGGACTTCTGGAAATCTGGACAGTTCACCTGGCGAAACTCTCATCCACAGCCGACCCAGTTCGGCTGCTCCAAAGTCCTGGTTGGGTTAAGCGCTTATAATAAAACTGAAACCTCGTGCTTTACCCCAGCTATTCATAAGGTAACTTAGACGTATCCCAACTCAGCTGTTCACTGTCCCGCTGAGTAAAAGTTTAAGTATCCGCAGTTTCTTTGATAATATGAGGGTACAAGTTAGTGTGCACCTGCATGCTTCCGAAAACCTTGCCAGTTCTTTAGCCTGATTACTGGAAGCAACCAAAGATAAGAGTTACTTCATTGTCTCCGAAAAAGCATTGACGTCAGTTAAATTTTGAGAGGGTCTATGGCGGTCCCCAAAGGACGACCATTCCAAACGACCTCCCGGTTTGTAGTGGCTCCTAAGAAAGATTCTGTCTAGCTTTCCGTTCCTTCCATAGATTTTGGAACCACGCTTCTCGAAAAAAATTATGGAAAATATCCACTCTGAAATAAACATACACAGCATCTGACGCCACGTTTGCCGCATGAACACTGACAAAAGAAGCACTTACAGGTTATGGGAATTAGGTCTCAAATATAGCCCCAAATAACGGCAACAAAGTTTAATCTATGCGCGAACTACCATGAAAAAAGAAAACGGGTTTGAAAGACTGTTTACGCCCACATTGTGAAGACAAGATTAATGGCAGAAACTAATACTCCGGAGCCTTGTTTGACAGGTCGCCTCAGTCCTTTTTGGAGGGTAGAGGAAAGAGACCAAGGATCCAGGCCTGTTTCGTATCCAACGAATTTGAATACGAAAATTGTCTTCCCGGTGCCAATCGTCAGACGTACATCCAAGATTCAACACAAAGCTCTAGCACCTGATGTTATTTATTCGAAACTTTAAAATTACCACATTGGGCCGCAGGTTTGTTGAAATTCGTTCAAACGTACTTGGGGTCACACATGGGCGCCGAGTTCCTAGTTCACTCTCTGCCAATGGCTTTGCATGGTGTCTCCCTGAAGATAGCGTATTTCCCGTTAAAGTTGGTCACTTCACGTGTTTTTTCGCTTTGGATTTGGAAAAAAATCTCAAGACTATTACAAAAATTACTGCGCCCCATATATTCGCGCAAACTCAAAATTGAGCAGACATTCACGACCTGTATAGGAAATATTTTTCTCCGGTTGCGCGTCAAACAAAGAGAAAGAATTCACCATAGCCAGGATTCTTTTCATATTGGTGAGCACACGCTATATCATGTGTGTGGTCAGGCGTTAACTTCACCGGTTTACCGAGACCTTGATAGTCCCATTAGAAGAAGCGTTGGGCTAATAGGCAGAATCAGCAGACAACACAATGATGTTGTCAATGCTTTTAAGTTCTGGCGTACATTCAGGAGATTGAAAGGGTCTTCAGGCGCATGTAACACACTCAGGGATGCGTTTAACTACGGGAGGCATCAGGCTGGGTGTGGCAGTCGTCGTACCGTCACTGGAACGTCATACGTGGGTTCGTGAGCAGCCCCGTGCATGAACATCATTGGGGGGTTTTACCGGTGTAACGGCGCTATGTGAAAAATAAGAGGTTTTCTCATAAATCTGCTTCGCGTCTGGTGAAAAGTGAGATTTATTAGGGAATGTGTGGAATCGACTTGTGGCATTCGTTTACGTTTGCGTGATAGTCAATGAGCATCCAGAAAATTTCAGGAAGACGCGTTCGCGAAGGAGACAGATAAAAGTTTTACAAACAAGATACATGTGAGAGCTCTGCTTCTCTGTTCAGTTGTCTGTAACTGTTCAGTTGATGTCTTCCAATAGAAAACTCCACAGCAAAAGCCTTCTTCCTTTTATTTGGTGCCGTGACCAGGATAAGGGTGAAAATCCCATGGCCGAAAGCCTTTGAGGGTTGGGATGTTCGGACCTTCCTGGAGGACTTCGAGGAGGTTGCGGGGGCTGTTGGACTGGATACCGACAAGGGTAATTGGCAGTGCCGAAGACCCTCCTCGACGGCGGACGAAAGTAGCCATGGATGCGGTCAAAACGGCCACTTAGACGATGGACTGGGCCGCCGCGAAGGAAGCCCTTGAAGCGCAGTTGGACAAGCCTGCCGACCGCCAGGAGGCTATGAGGTGGTTCAAGACGGCCAGGATGGCACCTGGATCTCACCCGACCGTGCCCTTCGCCGGCCTGCAGCATCGTTGGATTGGGCTTTGCCGGGACCGGACGGAGTGTCGTGCCATTAGTTGCTGTCTGATCAGTTCGTCGAAGGGTTCCAGCCGGCGCTTCGTGCTTATTTGCGGTTGGCGAGATCAAATGACCTGTTGTGCATGGAGGAGTTGGTTCATCTGGCACCGGAATTGGCCGAGGCACCACTGCCCACGTTGCAGTCGCAGAGGAACAGGGAGGAACTGCAGACGAGTGTGGACCAACTTGCGGACTGGCATGGGGCTACGAAAACGAAATCGCGTGGGCATGATCGAACGAGCCGGTGCTACAGGTTTGGCAGGCCTGGCCTCTGAAGGAAGCAATATCGTTCTGCTTGGTCACCTGTAAATAATAAAATTTTGGAGTAATCCTCTTTTCCTGGGTGGGTTGCGATTAGCGCACAGACACAAGCTGCCATACAAACCGTTATCGTGTTGGACGGGAAAATGGAGTTACGCTTGATTGACACAGGAGCAGGCGTATCGCTGAGGCGGAGAGGGAACCAAGGTGAACGCAGACCGTGCGCGATAGCCGTGAGAGCATCGGGCGGATATCGACAGGAGATTGACAGATTGTCAATGCACTCGATACGCCTAGGCGACAAGTCCATGCAGCAACCGTTTTTTGATTAGTCCAAACACAGAACAGACAATATTGTGGACAAATTTTCTCAAGGGCACAGATTCTGTGATTGACTTAAGGCAGGGAAAACTGGCGACGAGTTATAACGCAATCAAGCTTGAAGATTACCCAGGCGCTGCCGTGAGTGAGCTGTGTCCGAATACTTCGGATGAGGATCCGTTGGGCTTCTGCCCGTGGATTGAACACGAAATTAATCGGTCGTCAGAACGCTTCCGACTTTATGGCCACCGCCCGTTGCCGCTCCATCTACGGGAGAAGGTCCATAAGCAAGTTCAAGAGACGTCAAAAATGCATAATCGAAGAAGCCAATAATGCGTACAGTTTCCCAGTCGTGCTTGTAAGGAAGGCGAA